CACTCTCCTCCCTGGCTTGCCCAGTGCGGACTTCTTTGAATCTGTTGTAGAAGCCAGGCTGCCCTCACCTGTTTCCCTGACCTCAGTCTCCAGTTCCTGATATTTCTTCTAAGATATTGTACCCTTCAGCTGTCAGACATGGAAGCAGTGTGTGGTCCCTTCCACTCCAGAATAGATGCAGACATTCCATGAGCAGATGGGTGATTACATAAGCCCGGGGCTCAGCTTTTCCTACCATTTCTCCAGCCATATCTCCCTCTTCATTTTAGTAAGTTGTTAACCCTGCCAGACTTCTGTGACTCAGAACTCCAGCCAATATATGTTGACACACCCCTGTGTATGCTCTGTTCGCTGGCACGCAAGACATTCGCCAAAGGTACCAGTTAATTGGAATTGCTCACATTCTAGGTTGAAAAGAGAAATAGATACAGTGTGTGTGTGTGTGTGTGTGTGTGTGTGTGTGTGTGTGTGTGTGTAATACATATGAAATGTATACAACACTGATGTGCAAAAGTGTCCCCTGGAAATATTTGTGGAAGACAGAGGCTTAGGTTGAACTTGGAATGTTTGTGCGTCGGTGAACCAGGCAGCTCAGATGGTAGATCCCAGAGGCAAGAATCAAGCTTAAACAAGATGTGTGGGAAGATACAGAACAGAAGGTGTGTGTGTGTTTCTGATTTTTTTTTAATCTTCTCTAAGTAGAATGGAAAAACACAATGGAGAATGACTGGCATCTTGAAGAGGAGCTAAAATAACTTAACACAGAGAGAGATCCCCACCCGGCCATATCACTCTCCCTGAGAAAAGCACAGGAACTTATCAGTGTGGAAAATGAATGGAGCGGGAAGCACGTTTAACTGATTTATAATCCCACTGGTTCATTACCTCACTCTGCCCATCAAGCCAACAGAGGAAATCCCAAAGATATTCATATGTCCTCCTTCTCCTCTCTCCCACCTTCACGGGGGACAAACATGTTTGATTTCTCTCTGCACCTGTTCCTGCTCTCTGCTTTTGTATGCCACCTGTTCTACAGCATCCCAGTAGACATGTATAACCCCTGACTCATACAACTAAAATGAGAACTATGCCAAGAACTTGACTGTAGAAGAGATTCACAGCCAGGATATGTAGGCTGAGCTGCAAACATGACCCAGGTTCCTTTTGTGATCTTAACACCTACCTCCTCTCAGCCGGTAATGGACTATTGTGCTTTTCTGGGCCCCATGACTCACCAGCCTCCAGCATCACATAGCTAGAAGGAGTTTGCACATTTATTAGGGGTGTTTAGATGTTGGAGTCTGGAAAGCCCAGAGAATAAGGCATTGCTAAAGCTATGCAATTGACTAAAGAAAATAGCTAGGGCCTCTGAGATGTTTTCCCAAGGCTGAGCTGTTGACAGCTCCGTGTGGATTTTAGCCACCTTGTTCTGCTGGTAAATAATGACTAGATGAGCTGCAGCTTTCCGGCCCTCACTGTAATCTGTTCTGGGGGAGGTGAGGGGGGTTGTGCCTGACAGGTAATTAAGAAAGCTGACAGGAAATAGCATTTGGCCTCTTTGAAAGTGAACCACAGTTTGTAAAAGGTAACCTAATTTACCAAAACCACAGCTGGCAAAACTGTGCTTATCATGGCCAACACAGGAGTCTCTTATTAAATTAATCCCTCTTTGCCCTTTACTGTTCTCTAAAGTTTTACTTTTAATGTGAGAAAAAGGGGTGAAAATACCATAGAGCCTGAATTGAGAACTCCACTGCGACACATAAAATATAGAAACATTGATTGGCTGGAGGTGCAGAGTTGAGATGAGTTTGACCAATGACATCGGCTCTGAAACACCATTCCCTTGTTTAAATGGGGAAGGCTGAGAAAGGAGGAATTACACCATCATTCCTAAGACTTTAAGGCTGTCCGCTGTGTTGGATAATGAAGAAAGACGTAAACATATGCTGAGATTTAAAAGAAAAAGGAACTGGGAGCTAGGGAGATGGCTCAGTGGTTAGAAGGTCTTACTGCACAATTGTGATGAGTCAAGCACCCACCTAATAAGGCATTGTCTCCCACACCTGTGGCCTCAGCGCTGCCGTGAGGGACTTGGGGACAGAGACAGGAGGAGCGACAGCGTTTGTTGACTGCCAACCTAGTAAAACAATGTGAACTCCAGATTTTCAGGGAGAAACCCTGCCTCAGAGGAATGAGGTGGACAATGGTGAAGAATGAGAATACATGCCCTGTCTGTGCTTGCAAATGCTCACACATGCACGCTCACACACACACACACACACACACAGGAGTTAAATCAGGTTTAGGAATTTACCTTCAAGCTCAAGGAAGGGAGAAATAAACTATTGATCTGCAATGCCCTTTAGCAATTATTTTATGATTTAATACTGTTATCGTGGAAGAAAAAAAATCTCATTCTATTTGAGTGTTGCAGTTGTATCTGGTTCAAATGTCCCCCTCAAGGTTTCATGTGTTAGAATTCAATCCCCACTGGGAGGTTTTAGGAGGAAAAATTTAATCTAACCTAAGTGCTTGGAAGAAACCCTTTATGTAGTGATTTGAATTAAAGAGGATTATTAGGTAGAGCCCTATGCTTGAAGCCTGAAGGCTTGATGAGAGAGACTACAAAATACATATCCATACATTCATGCATGTGTCACATGCCTTGTGCCCTGTGATGCCATACCCTAACTTGACACCAGATGGAGCCACTCAGTCTTGCACCCGTAGAACCATGAGCTCAAATAAACTTCCTTTCAATTAACTAACCTACTTTCTGGCATTCTGTTACTGTTGACAGAAAATGGGCTAATACAGTACAGATAGTTACTTGTCACAAGGCTAACTCCCATGGGGAAGCAATGTGGCTCAAGGTTAAGTTCAGGAACCTCATGGCTCAGATCTTCTAGACAGGTATCAATTTCAAATATTAAGATTGGTAATCAGCCCGATAGCCTCCAAAACAATACAGAGAAACCCTGTCTCAAAAAACCAAAAAAAAAAAAAAAAGAATGGTAATCAGGAAGGATTATGCAGTAAGTGTAGTTTCTTTCACTGTAACCTACTTTTTGGCACACATAAAAATAGTGGCTTCCTATTCCATGCAAAGTCTAGGAAAGACTCAGTTTGGGTCCCTTGATGGCTAATGATAGACATTAGCTCTAAATGTCTAAGGTGAGAGGGAAGGATCCATATCACTCTTATGTTCCCTGGTTACAATTCTGTATCACTCTTAGGTTCCCTGGTTACAATTTCCTAGAACACAGAGAAGGTACACCTAATAACTCATTTACTTTACGTTCATTCCAAGAATTCTGTGCCAAACCCAGTAAGTGACCATGCTGCCACTAAGCTAAGACAAATTGCTATTGTAACCAAGAGAATAATTGCACATTTACAACAGACCAAACAATCAATTTATCTTCCTCTGGATTCTTTGTGGGAACGATAGATGTCAGATGTCAGCAGAATTGTGGGAGTTGGCTCCAAGTGCCCGTTTCTATATTACTTTTTAGGACCAGGAAATAGAATGGCATTGTCCTCTTTATGTTCTGATGATAGAAGACATCTGTCCATCACGCTTTGTGTCATTTCTTTCAAAAGAAGAAAAATAGAGTATGTGGGGAATGAAGGCCAGACCTGGCTGGCACAGTCGCCCGCAGATCCTCAAGAACTCTCCAGAGCCCTGAGCACCCCACAGACAAGCAACTAGATTTACAGGGAAAATGCAAGAAGTAAGACCAAAAGTGCTCCCCATCTACCTTCTCTGCCTCCTGGAAGGTTTACATTGTGTTACATTCCTGCCCCGCCAGGGGCTAAGACCTGACTCTGCATGTGAGATTTCCTTGTCCCAGAAAATGATGCCAAGAGTACATGTGATTGAGCCATTAAAGCTCACTTCTTTTACTAGGAAAAAGCCTCCTCGTTTCAGATCTCCATTACAGCTCATAAGTCTCGAAGAAATGCGATACTTTAAACCACCGCCAGTGATTACCTTGCATATCAGCTAACAGCTGCATCAGCAGGTAAGGAATCTGCTGAAAACCTTGAACTGTGGCAAAGAGCAAAGTGCAGGAGTGCAGACAGAGTCTTGGAGGGGAGCAGAGGAAGGTAGCAAGTCCTGACACAAAGCGCAGGAAACTCACCCCACCCAGCCTGGGTAAGGTCTGAGCTGGGCAGCTGCAAAATGTTCTCACTGTTATCACCACTGTTGAGAAACTTTGAAGAAGTGATGGAATACTACATATTTCAAGCATTTTTGAACTGTTATGGCCCATATTTGAATTTTGGCATCATGTTTAATCCTGAGACCAGCCTTTACTCCACTGCTCAGATTTTAAATTTTAATGTAATTATTTTATTTTTGATATTATACTATAACTGCAACCTTTCTTCCTTTGCTTTCTGCCCTTTACACTCTGTCCTATACCCCCTCCTTTCCTTCTTTCAAATCTTTTTTCATTAAATGTTGTTACATACAAGCATACATACACACATATATTCCTACATACATAAATACTCCCTGATCAGTCTGTATAATGTTATCCATACGTATGTTTTCAGGGCTGGCCATTTGGAACTGGATAACCAGCTGGTACGCCCTTCCTGGGGGAAGACTGTCTCTCCCACTCTCAGCATTCCTTAATTGCCTGTAGTTCTCTGTGGAGGGCTTTGTGGGATTTTCTCCCACCCACTATGGCATGTCTGTTGGTGTCGTCTTTATTCAGTTCATGTGTAGGCAGATGAGTTGGTAAGAGTTCATGAATGTACCTTCAGACATTCCCCAGAGACCCAGTCTTACAGCAAACTCCCTGATTCTCTGGCTCTTACAGTCTTTCTACTGCCTCTTCCAGCCTTAGGTACAGGAGCATTTTGTAGACATATTCATTGAGCCTGACCTCCACAATTCACATTTCTATTAGTTGTGGTTTTCCTGTAATGATCTACATCTACTGCAAAGAGAGCTTTCCTTAATGAGGGGTAAAGATTACACTTACCTGTGGGTCTAAGGACAAATATTTAGAGTGTAGTTAGGGATTATGCTGGTTTCAGAAAGGGGTGGTTGCAGATTCTCCTCTGATAGCTGTGCCTTCACCAGCCTTGGGTTTTCAGGACCAGACACAGAGGTACCGTCTCTTGTTGGGCAGCTTGTCTCGGCTTTGTCTCTTGTTGAGCGGCTCCTAAGTTGAATTAGAGAGCTGTTGGTTGCTTGTTGCTAAGCTGTTCTATTACCAATAAAAACTGGAGAATCAGATATTGGGGTGAAAACCTTGTAGGTCAGAGAAGCAGAGGAGGAGTGACCTGCTGACCTTTGTTTCTTACCAGAGACCCAGTCAGAGCCTCTTCTCTCTACACATCCCAGGAAGAAGAGCATGCAAATTCCAAGTCCCTCCCTTCTCCTTCCTCTCCATCTCCCCTATCCATATTCCTGGTTTCTCTATAGCTAATTCCAGTCGCTAGCTCAGCCCACCAATTCAAAGTTAACTTTAAATTTGCATCAACATACATATATCCATAACAATATAAAATTTTTTGAGATTGCTTGTTGCTTTTTGGATTAAAGTAGATTCAATAATCTACCCTTTCCACCTATTATTCTTTTTTTTTTTTTTTTTTTTTTTGGTTTTTACGAGACAGGGTTTCTCTGTATTGTTTTGGAGGCTATCGGTCCAGCCCGGCCTCGAACTCACAGAGATCCACCTGCCTCTGCCTCTCGAGTGCTGGGATTAAAGGCGTGTGGCACCACCGCCTGGCTCCACCTATTATTCTTATTCCTCTTTTCTTTTCAAAATGAGATCCCTTAATCTATCCTCCTTTGCTTAGTTTCCTCCCTGACTATGACCAATAACAAGTTGCAACTAATTCCTCTAAACAATGAAAAACATCCACAACCCACAAAACAACCAAAACCACTTAAAATTACTTCCACGTTGAGGTGCACGAATTTTACCAGCAAGATATGGAGGGGGGTTGGACATACAGTATGGAGGAGAGCCATATGGCAGAATACAGATTAACATAAAGGGATTAATTTAAGCTATAAGGGCTAGTTGGGAATAAGCCTAAACTAAGGCAAAGCGTTCATAGGTAATAAGTCTCCATGCCATTATTTGGGAACTGGAATAACAAAGACAGTCTGACTACAGTTGGTCACTACCAAGAGAAGCGTGTTGATACTGCTTGCCTAGGGTTATGTGTGTCGCACTGATTGTTATGGTCGTACATATGTGTCCTCAAGTGGGAGGCTTTCGGGGTTAGTTCCAGGTCAGGGGCCCTCTGGGCCTGGCTTCTAAAGTGCATGATGTCTTCATCAGTGGGGACTCATCTTCTGCCTCTGAGAAGCAACCAAGGACAATAGCAACAGCTTGTACTGTCTGGGGAGTCTCTTAGAAAACCCTGAGCAACAACTCAAGAGACAGCTTCCTGGGTCTGGTGTTAGAGTTTCTGGTAGATGGTCCTTGGCTCTTGAGGAAAACATTGTCAACCCAGACAAAAAAATATTCATTTACACACAGACTTACATGTATTATAGTGTGTTTTAGGTATATTGTTTATAGTATGGTTTCTTATGAGTTTTTCAGACCTTACTGGTTTTTACCCTCCTCTCCTTGTTCTGTTTTTATCCCTTCCTCCCCTAGTAAACTCCCTCATTTTTCCTCTTTTCTCAATCAGATCACTTGTACCCTGATATTCCCCTCTCTATTGCTCCCTGGCCCTAACAATAGTTCCTTATTACTTACCCGGTTTCTGCTGTTACTCCAAGATATGTACCCCCATCTAAAGGTTATGGGCTAGGAGCCTCATATGAGATAGACCATGTTTGACTTTCTGGATCTGAGTTACCTCACTTAATATGATCTTTTCTAGTTCCAACCATTTACCTGCAAAGCTCATGACTTCATTTTCCCTTACAGCCAAACAGTATTTCACAGTGTATATGCACCATATTTTCAAAGTAAATCTACCATATGACCCAGATTTGTCTTACCTGTATTTGACTGTTGGTCTCTAACTCTTTGGAAAAGATGTGATATGTAAATCTAAGCACTTAAAAATTGTGTATTTTATACATATCATTTCAATACATAATCCCTTGGAGTTACTTTTAATCTAATCATTACCAGCTTGGGACATGTGATGATAAAGCATTAAAATTGTTCTTGTCTAGTCATAATTTTTCTAACCAGACATCTATAAAAATAGCTGTTCATTAAATTCAGGATATGTTCACCAACTATTAACAAAGTGTCTAGAGAATCCTACCACAGTGGACAGCCAACTTTAACCTGTGTAATGTATTATCTGTACCATATCTGATTTTCACCAATGGCAAAAACATGCTGATTTCTGTGACTTGAAGCTGACCTGTGCTGTCCCCATAGTCTACCCTGTCCTCTGATTCTTTTTGTTTGCTTTTTGCCCCTGCAAAATGTAATGAATAAAAAATTTCTGCTCCCCTGACATTTCTCCCACCAAATTGTTCCTTTAAAGAACTCTTTCTCACTCCCATTGCTGTTACAATGAAAACATCATGGGCTTTAGACTCATAGAAACCTGGTCTACAATTCCAGTTGTACCTGTTGCTTCAGGCTCAGCGGGTTGATCCTCTGTATCCTCGGCTGTACAATGAAGCAACTGTAAGAGGAGAGAAGACCAATACAGAGTTGGATGACAAGGAAACAGTCCATGCACTTTAGTCTCCTTGGATTCCTCGGCAGTAGCCAAACAATCATTCCCTTACTGCCATCTTATGGCATTCTCCCGCCTGACTTCTCCATTATATATCACCTGGACTGCATTCTAAGTGCTTCAAGAAAAAGAAATGCAGCACCTTCTGTTATTCTGAATTCTACTTTTTGTCTCTGGTGGTTTGAAAGAGAATGACCTCCAAGGGAGTGGGAATATTAGGAGGTAGGGCCTTGTTAGAGGAAGAGTGTCTCTGTGGGATGGGCTTTGAGATCTCTTTTTTCAAGCTTCCTTCAGTGTGGCACCCAGTTGACTTCCTGTTGCCTTCAAGGTGTAGCACTCTGAGTTACAAGCACCACAGCTGCCTGCATGCTGCCATGATGATAATGAACTAAACCTCTGAAACTATAAGCAAGCCACCTCAATGACATCAGACACTGAGTTTGTCTGGCTGGTTCTTGATCTTACTTTAGCAAGAGAGTGAGTATTTCCTCACTATGCTCCATTCCCTATATTTTTATAATGGTAAGGCATATCCTGTACCACTACATGTTAGTTCGGCCAGTGTTGGTGGCACACACCTTTAATCCCAGCAGTTGGGAGACAGAGGTAGGCAGATCTCAAAGCAAGTTCCAGGACAGCCAGAACTGTTACACAGAGAAACCCTGTCACAAAAAAACAAATAAAAAGAATTATGATAGCTGCTTTTTTATTTTTACAGGTGTGTTACAGTTAAGAGATTGCCATTCATCTCAGAAGAGATTTAAAATAAGTATGACGCTGTTACAGAGTTGGATTGAACCTCTGAAGCTGTAAGAGAGCCACACCAATTAAATGCTTTCTTTATAAGAGTTGCTGTGGTCATGATGTCTCTTCACAGCAATAGTAAACCCTAAGACAGTGCATTCCTTGCAATAAACGATCAACGGTTGGCTTTTGTTCTTAATGTAGTAGGTCATATCACCTTCCCTTCCATCAATCCTTTTCTTAAGACTGTCTTTCTCCTTGTATAGTTTCCCGAGAATACCACAGAGAGTGAGAGCTGGACCACTAAGTATCACAGTCTCAAATAGAATTCAACTCCAGCCAACTAAGCATCTCTAACAAAGGTCTACTTTTAGATGTGTGTGGGCAGAGAAGAGAACCAGAAAAGCATGGTGAGGCACCTAGAGGCTAGCAACAGAAGAAGCTGGAAGACAAAACACTGAGTAAAGGTGAGAGCTGTGGCCAAGAAGATCCATATGCCTCAGGGTCAAGGAAAAGCAGAAGGTGTTTTCAGGGGACCAAATTACCCGAACTTATTCTCCTCTGATACTTTGATCTCCTGTTGTGTTAATTATTCACTGAGTCTACTCAGAAGTTCTGGTGTGTGATCCCTAGGGATGAGAGCGTGGTGTTAAGAAGGAAGGGAAGAGGGCAGATCTTGGGTGGGAACAAATGGAGAGTTACCAGTGCAGAGCAGCCTTCCTCTGTGTGACCCAGAGTCTCAGAATGTGTTATGTTGCCTCACAGCACAGAACAGGAGGTAGGAGCTCCAAAAGACTGGTCAAAGTGACCATTCCTGGCATTAGAACAAGCCAATCTCATGAACCTCCTGGCCCGTCACACAAAGGAGGGTTTGTACAGCCCTAGCAGAAAACAAACCAAGAGGAAGGTAGTTTACAGAGGGTCCTTCAACATGGGCAAGATCATAAGAGAAAGAATGAAAGAGCAATGTCTCCACATTAAATGAGGGTTAAAAGAGGCCCGAAAACTAACTTCAACATGCTACCCTTGGTTTGAAATTAGGTGACAAAAGTTATTATACAACTGACAAAGTTTAATGGAATCTATGGGTTAAAACACTGTGGTGCTCTCACCTTGAGCACTGTGTCATGAGAAGAGAAGGGGATGCCAAACATCTTTGTTATGGTGAACAGTAACATGCACTAGGAAATGATTTGTAACAAGGGTCAGTGTGCACACATTACTTTCAGCTGGTTAAGTAAAATATGTTGGGGGTAGAGAGATGACACAAGGCCTAAGAGCACTGGTTTCTCTTCCAGACACTCTAGGGTTCAATTCCCAGCACCTATGTGGTGACTAACCACCATCAGTAACTCCAGTTCCATGGGCCTCTGTGGGTACTTGGTTCATGGGGCAAGGCAAACTCCCATACACATAAAGTAGAAATAAATAAACCTTTAAAAATATGTTTTGTGTGAAAGGGGGAGGATAGATAGTAGATAGATAGATATAGATAGATAGATAGATAGATAGATAGATAGATAGATAGATAGACAGATAGATTGTGTGTGTGTGTGTGTGTGTGTGTGTGTGTGTGTGTGTCTGTGTGTGTAAGCATGAAATTATATTAGGAGAGGAAGAACCAAGTGCAGACTGAATATGCCCTTGACAGGAAGTACTCATTTGCATGGAGAGGATTAGTCCCCCACTGTCTCAATGGAGTCTCATCAAATACATGCGTCTCAGATGGCTCTAGGCACCCAGTGATTCCAACCATTATAGAGAGAATTCTGTTCCTCTCATGACAATTTGTGAACATTATTAGCTGCTTCTCATTCTTATTAGAAATTAAATTGTTATGATAAAACTGGAAGAAATTAGGTGAAGGAAAATGTCCTGCTATGTCTTGGTTGGAGGGCTTGGCATGAAACTGGAATTTTCTGCCTCTTGTGTAAGGAAGTGAGTGAATGATGGGCATAATATTTATGCCAGCCTTACAATTGAATTGTTTTCCACCTCCAAAGTAGAACTGCTAATATAACATTTGCTCTCTGGGGTGAGAACGGTTTGTTTATTTCCCCACTCCTTCATCCCATTCCCTAAGCAGTTGTTTCCAAAGACTATGATTGCATATATTGAGCACACATGTCTTTTTGGAAGTCAGAAAGAAAACCAATAATTGTGATTGTTTTCAGTTCAAGGAGGGTATAAGCAAACCTACTATGGCTCTGAGCAAAGTTGGCATGCAAAGATACCTCTAGGATGCTTCTGATGAGACCAAGGATAGTGTATTTGCTGGGCGGTCATTGCTTCTCGTTTGGGGGAATTTAGAGACAGGGAAACGTCCATGTTTTTCCCTATGCTGTCTACTTCAAAGACTTACACAGGAGTCTCAGAAAAAGAAACAATTCTATGATGTCATCAACATAGACTTGAGGGAGAAAGCCTGATATACAAGTAACATTTTATTAGATTAAGAGACCCAGTTACTTCCTATTAGTTTAATTGCTATTCTTCACAGCATCATAATTTTAATGTGCTTTCAATTCAGCAAACAGGGATTAAGCTCCAGATGTGTCCCAGGCACCATGGGAAACTTGATCAAATAAAATATCTTCACAAGCCACCATTTACTTTTTCCAGAAAAATTAAGGGCCATGTATATATGATCTATCCAGCATGTGCAATTTCTGCCAACATAGGACTTCATTTTTTTTACATTTTAACGTAATTTATTTATTCTGGAAGGGTGCATGTGTGTCATAGGTGTTGTAATTTTAAAAAGTGCCATGAGAGAGAAAGATGCCATGTGACAGAGTTCAAGTGGAGGGTTTTTATTATTATTGTTATTATTATTATTAGAGAAAGTGATCATAAAAAAGGGAAGAGGGAGGGGAGAGCGACAGGAGCAGCAGGAAAGAGGAAAGAGAGAGACACACAGAGAGAAATACTGACAGAGGGAGAGAAAGAAAGAGAAGAGGATGAGAGGTAGGCAGGGCCCTTTTAAAAGGGAACGTAGTAAATGTGCACAGGTGGTGCTCTTGGTGCAGCTGAGGGCATATCCTGTCAGAATCCTAAGGGCAGGCCAGTGCAGATGCCTGAAGACTAACACAGGGATTGTGTGGAGGTCAGAGGACAGCTTGTAGAAATCAGTTCTCTCTCTTTCTTTCCACCATGTGGCTCCCAGGAATCTAACTCAGTCCTCTGGCTTGGTGTCAAGTGTTTTTATCTACCACGTAACTCATCAACTTCCAGTATAGGACTTCCTCTAAGACCTATACTGCAGGAAGGAATACTTCAGGATATTCACTAAGAGTATGGCTTGGCTGTTACTGAGGACTAAAGGGAGGGCCCATTCAATTATAGATTCAAGAGCTGCAGCCTCCAAAGTTCCTTCATAGGTAGTTGGGTCATATAATAGCAATTTGTTTGTTAAAGTATATTATTTTGTTAAGCCATAGCTGCATATCAAAACCACAATTTTGACTACTATATCTGGTTTGGTAATGCAATCTGAAAAACAGAAAAGCAAGAATAGGCAGGTGTTCTGTTGACTAGCATAATTGCCTTGCAGTGTCTTTGAATTTATTGATAAGAATGATGTACAGCATCCAACCCTAATCTCAGAAGATTTTCCGTACATTTGTAACAACAGCCTGACATCATCAGAATAAATTCATAGGTTCCTAAGTAGGAACTTTGAAAAAGTAGCATTGACTTGGATGACTTGATACATTCCACCATTTTTGCTAAATTAAATAACCTAACAGTTGTATAGTATCCTTATGCACTTGAATTTTAAGACCTACAATAATATAATGTGGCCATTGAAGTCACTATAGAACCTTTTTTACAATATGGTAAAATGTCCATGCTAAAGTGTTATGGGCTAGATAACCTTGAAGATGGTTCATAATTCCTCCATGGCATTAGCACATGTAATTTGCACATTTAGTCAGCCTGACCAGTATAGCACCCCATAAGGGCACTTTTGATATTTTTATAAAAATGACCATAGCTTCTATATTGAAAGACTGTTTACCTCCTTCCTCCCTTCTCTTTCTCCCTCAATCCCTCCATCCTGTGTCCATTCTCTTTAAGGGAAGGTCAGTTGTCATATGAGCAACTCTATAGAGACACAAGCCTGGTCAAGAACTGCAGTCTCTGTCAATAGCCACAAGAATGAAGTTGAAGGCTATTTCTCAAGCCCCTAACATCACCAGGACAACCTTGTAAGAAATCTCCACCCAGAATGCTGGGCTAAATCTCCTCAGCTTC